CAAATATATACAAAAATCCTAATTAATTACCGAATCAACTAAGAAAATAATAAACTGGCATGCAAGCCAGGGACTGCCTTGACTCTGTTCCGAATGATGGATGATGCATGCTCGGGTTGCTTGGCACGTGAATCCATTGCGATGCCCCAATTAGCCTCTGTTTGCGATTGATGCCAAAATGCTGTGCAGGGCCTTTGAAAGGCTATTGATTCTTGATTTGCTGCAACAGAGAGCAGGAAAAGGGCATGTCAATGTATTTTCACAAATGTATGCATGCCTCGATCCTCGTGCCACCAATCACGCATATCGATGCATGATGGCCGAGGAGTCGAATTTGCATGACTTAATATGAAATGAATGCACATATGAACATAACAAAACCTAAACTCCATCATGGATAATCCGGAGTGTTGGTGACTGGAAATTGAGACACGTTCCGTCACTCGAAGTACGAAATGTCGCTCGTTTCCCGTGCTTGGGCTAACTCCTATCCCAAGCACGATGTAATATGCATGACATGCATGAAATGCAACTAAGATACAACCTAACATACACAATGCTATGAAATGGCATACACGATGCACGAGATAACATGGCATACACGATGCGCTAACATACAACCTAGCATACGCAATGCTATGAAATGAAATGGCATACACAATGCATAATGGACTTACACCAACATGAGTGAACCTCAGCCACACTCACATCAGTAGCCATGAGATGAAAATGAGATACTCGAAATGCGTGCACACATGCACGCAAACCGAGGACCGAACCTAAGGTACGAATGCCACTCTACCAAAGCATGGCAAGGCATGGAACATGGTATGTAAACATGCAAATTTCAGTGCTGAAATATGATGCAAAACAGCCCCGAAACATGGAAACATGGCACCCGATGCATGGAATGAACCCGAAACAAGAAATTAGGCACATGGAATGACCTATAGCTATGCAAAGCATGCATTATTTGAACATGAAGTGTGAATAAAGAATCAAGACAGCCCCAAAACAAGCATATTTACAGTTTTGAGCAAGGCCAAACAATGGACACAAATAGGACTAAACTAGCATGCAAAAATGGCCCCGTAAAAGAGGTAATGAAGCAAGTAGCAGCTTCTGGCCCCAAATGGCCAAGAGCCCTTCAAAAAATTTGAAGAGGGGCTCAAAATGAAGCACTTTATAGTTTTCAATGAGCCACGGATCTAAACAAAAACAGGCCTAAAACATTGTGCAAGAAATGGGCCAAAAGGGAGGCAAAGAAGCAAGTGATGGTCGCTGGCCTCAAACAAAGGAGGGCCCTTCAACAAAGTTGAATAGGGGCCCAAAACATAGTATTTTACAGTTAGTGAACAAACCCAAAACAGTGTACATGCAAGCCTAAAATACTATGCAAAATAAGGCCTAAAAAGAGGTTTAAACACAAAGTGTAAAAGGGGAGCCTCAAACAGCAAAAGACCCTTGATCAAACATGAAGAGGGGGTCAAAATTAGGCCATTTACAGTTCAGACCAGAGCCCAAAAATATAAACACAAGGGGCTAACAAAACATGCAAAAATGAGGCCAAAATAGGGATAAAGAGGCAAGTGACAAAAGGAAGCCTCAAAAAAGTGAAGAGACCTTCAACAATGTTGAAGAGAGGCTCAAAATAAGGCAACTCACAATTTATAGCAAAACTCAAAACAATTTACAAATAGGCCTAAAATACTATGCAAGAAATAGGCATACAAGAGAGGTAAAGAAGCAAGTATAAAAAGGAAGCCTCAAATAGGGAGAGGCCCTTAAAAAAACATGAAAAGGAGCTCAAAATAATGCTATTTTCAGTTAGGGTCGGAGCCCAAAAATGGAAGCAAGTATAGCTTAGATTGTATGCAAAAATAGGGCCAAAAAGAGGAGAAAGAGACTTACCCTTGAAGACCAATCTTTGACAGCCTTTTGGACCAAGTTTGGGTGCTCCTAAGCTTTGAAAGACAGCCTCAAGCTGTTGGTATAGAGTATGGAGGCCTTGTGCTATGAGGTGTAGTGTAAAATGGTGTAGGTTTTGAAGGATTTGGTGCTTAGAAGAGAATGAGAGGGAGGATCAATGCAAGAGGCTTAGGGAAAATTTTTATAACCCTCAGATGGGAGCTGGAGCTGCTGTTATATAGGCAAAAGAATGGGAGAAAAGGGGGGAAAAATGGGGGGGAAAGAATTCAAATTTCCCCCCAAAAGTGCAGCCCCCCGGATACCAAATCTAGGGGGAAACAGAATGCATATCTGTAAAGTACCTGGAGAGAGGATGATGGCCGGCCGGTTATTGAAGTTGCAGGTGGCCGGCCGGCTCTTCCCATGGCCGGCCGGCCAAGGGTCAAAAGGGTCAATCATGATTAGTGGCCGACCACCCCAGAAAGAGGGCCTCCCATGTGTGCACAACACAACCATGTAGTCAAAAACTGGAGAAAGCGAACCAAGAGAGAGAAAAGGCCACTTTTAGGAGGGGTTCAAAAGGGTCACAAAGAATTACTGGCCGGCCATGTGATATTGGTGGCCTCCCAGGTGTGTACAACACAAATATGTGGTTTGGGGCAAGAAAAGTGGCCTTAGGGTGGTCAACTTTGGCTTTCAAGTGAGAAAAACGGGCGACGGAGGGCGACGGAGGAATAAAACTGGTTGTTAGAGCAATTACTGGCCTCCCACCCTTCTACGACCTTCTTAACAATGAAACAGAGGTCCCTGCCAAAAATGAACTCAAACCGATGCAAAATGAAGGTTCGGGGGCCAAAACGCGCAGCCTGAGGTCCCGAAAACTGACTGTTAGGCACCGAAAGTGGTGTTCGACCACGAAGTTGGTTTTTCGAGCCAAAGTGTCCCTCAAAAGGGAGCAAATAAGATGCATGCCAAAAACCAGAGCAAACGGAGGTGGTTAAGCGGTCTCAAACCGAGGCACACGGCCAACGGCTCTGAAAAATCGGAAACCGGACTCCAAACGGGCAAAATGGCCTACGACCACGAAACGTAGTCTACGGCCACTGAGAGATGATCTACGAGACCTCTCCCTCCCTTCGGGAAGAGAAAATAGAGAAAACAGAGCCTGGTTCGCAAACCGAGGCAAAGCATGAAAGAGTCCGGAAGTCCGGAGGCAAGGCTCGCAGCCGAGACTCTGAAACCTCTAAACGAGCACGATATGCAACATCACCAAGGGCTCAATCGGTGACGTCTGAGTCTTAAATTCGGTCAAAAATGGGGTGTCTACAGCTATAGAATAAACAGCTTATTCATGCATATAAAGTGGTGGCTAATTACTTGCTTACATTTATTTTCCTGCTTAGATTCTGACACTATTCTTATCTGTCTGGTACAATTGATTCGTACACGTCTTTATGTCGATCAGTTTTTTTACTGAGATGATATCTGTCCTATAGACCTTGCTTAGGACCTTTCATTACAGGGTATCTTCCAACTGCCATCCTTAGTGGATTTATATATGTCATTCCGTTTGCCATGCTTGGAATGGCAAAACTGGAAGGTTATGTATCGAGGAGTAAAAAGGAGATAAAAGCTTGCAACATGGTCTTCTATTTTCTGTTGGGAAATGTATTCTTCTTGACCTTGTTATCAGGGTCTTTACTTGATCAAATTGGAAAATCTGTTACTCATCCTAGGGATTTTCCTGGCCATCTTGCAAGTGTTGTCTCGGCCGAAGTAAGTGTACTAATCCTTATTGATTCACTAGATATATTATGTAACTGTATATTCCTTTTTTATTTTTTTTCTTCATGTTTTGTATAATATTCTGTTTTAGGGTTTGGCTAATGTGATATGAGAAGGGTGAAAGCAATGTGGAAAGCATATGAAACTGTGAAGATGTATATTTCCATATTTTTATTCTATCTATTCTTAGATTTGGGTTGTTTTCTATCTAAGGTTGTATTATGCAACATTGTAAGATCAAGGGAACGTGATGCAATTGTTTTCTATATCTCTAAACTTACAGAATCAATTATGTCCTTGCATTAACTCTTATCACTGATAAAGATGATCCAAGCAATGGCTTATTGATCCCATTGCTTTTTGTTTTTTTTTCTTTCAGGCAGACTTCTTTATGACATACATCTTGACAAATGGGCTGGCAGGATTTTCCCTGGAGACATATTGATTCATATATCACTCATAAGGGCATCTTGACAAGCATAGATCAGACATATTGAAAATTGTCAGGGATGGTATTGAGTATGCTTTTGTTGATGCTCCAAAGCAGCTATCTTTTTTGGATGGGGCTGTGGTCCATTTCATTTCCAAACTTCCTACACCTGATATCCTTGAAATGTAAGAGTGAATCTTTTTGACTTTTTCTTCTGTAAGTTCTCTAACATATATGTTTGGAAGGCAAATGCTAATGCTCCATCACTGTTGCAATAGTTTGAAGGATGTCCAAAAATGAACAGAGAACGTGAATACAGAGGTAGATCCTAGTGGATGGTGCCCCCATCACACGTTTGTAGACAGTTTAAAAGAAAAGTATGCAAAAAATGAAGCTTTCCAAGGTATCATTGGTCTTCCAATTGTTTCTTTAAAAAAAAATTTTTCCATTGTACTTGTAGATGAATGGAAAAGCACTTATGCTTGATGAAATTATAAACTATGGCCAGTCACTACAACGAGGTAAATTAGGACTTGTTCTATACCATGGGGTTTCATTTTGATTGCATAATTGAGTTCTATGACTTAATGGGTATTGTGTATTTATTTTGTGTTTTGTAGTTTCTGTCAATGAAGTTAGTTTCTGTGAATCCAAGGTTGGAATTTAACATGGATGGTCTCTTGTCAAAAGGTGTGAGTATAGAAACTTGTTGTAAAATCAATTTCTTTTATCTATTGTGATGTTTTTTTTTTTTTCTAAAATTGGTTGTAAATTCCAGGTATTTCATTTCAGCCTAATGGCTTTTCCCTCATCGAACATACCCATTAGATTCCTCTGCTTCTGCTTTCTTTGGACAACAGACCCAGGAATTTCCACTAGTACATACTAATCTTTCCAATGGGGACCATACAAGCACCACATTATGCCAAAACAACGGCATGCAATTACCTCTGATCGATGAATTCGGCCAAGGTCTTCCACAGGTATTCAAATGCTGGCCCATTCCTGAAGAATTTGGTGTTGTCTTTGTTTTCTCCATTTTCATTTTTCGTGTTTCAGTAAGGAAAACAACGAAAAGTTGGAAATACCCAAAAATAAAATAAAAATTTGGAAAGAGATTTTCATCATCTAATTCTGATTTTCTCAACTTGAAATCCTCAGTTTCCAACATTGTGTGAAGATGATCTGCAAAGCATTGTTCAGATGGGGTTTGGTCAAGAACCCAAACCACAATACAGGATTTCAATCATCCCACATGAAAATTGAACTGTGGTCACCATTGATTTGTCCTCAACTCAAGGCCCAGAGGCTGCTGTATATTAATGGATTTTTTTTTACGAGAAATGTTAAAAAAAAATCTTGATGCTTCAGTTATTTACCTAAAATATAGTAGAATCACAAGTTGCTTCATTCACCAACTAAATTTGATTTGTTGGGATGAAGAATTGTGTTGAATCAAGAAGGGTTGACTTTTGTTAAATCTATTTTCTATAACAACTTTAGATACGTTACATATGATCTCTATAATTGAAATTGGTTTGATCTGTTTTTGCAGGAATAGTATGTATCCTAAGCAGTTGACTCATCTCAGTTGTGAACTACAACTCTTTATGAGTTCAAGAAGAGCATACAGTCTGTAATGTTTTTGTAGTGGAAGTGGATAGAACCATAGATAGACCTGTAGACACTAATGCTTGCTTAAAGATGGGTTTTGAGCCACTGGTTTGGTATTGTTAGCCAGTGGCAAATAGATACTTTGGTTGTTTCCATCTCCAATTTGGTTCTTATGGGCCTGTGCTTATATCAAATATGGTTGACTATGAAAAATTTATCGCTATTTTTCAGTTTTTTTATAGGTGTTTTTTTAGTTCAATAACATAAAATTAGCAGAATTTAAAAAAAAAAAAAGAAGGAAGGGCTATCACGGTGTTTCTAAAAACATCGCTAAATAGCATACCAACGGTTGGAGTTTTGAAAAGAAAGATACGGCGGTGTTTTAAAAGCGTCGCTAAATAGCATGGTGACGTCATGTTACCGTTAGAACTTTTAGCGGCGTTTTAGCAACGTTTCTAAAGCGCCATAGAGTTATAGCGACGGCCGCATCTTCGACGTTTGGTGTTAAACGTCGCAAAAGGATTTAACGGCGTTTTTGAGACCTATAGCGGCGTTTTTTAAACGCCTCTAAAACTCCAATTTCTAGCAGTGATAATGCTATGTTTTGACCAGATTTAGATACCAATTGTTGTGTTGTCAATGCATTGGTTTAATGGGCTCCACCTTTTATGTCTTCTACCAATTACGTTGTTGACACAATAGATTGTATTCTACTTTTTGTACCGAAATTTGGCCACCATAGCCATTACTGGGGTGATGCGATCAGTACGGGTCCATATTTGATTTCTTCAGCTGCCTGCTTTGACTTTGTTTATCCCCACAAAGATGTGCATATATGAAATGCACATAATGTTAATTTTAAAACCATCAAAATGTTGAAGGTTGTAGTGGAAAGTAAAGAATTTTTTTTATTTGATTTTAATGTTTAGAAAAAGTAGTGATGAATCATGCCAATGGTGACATTATTTTTTTCATTTTTTATTTAAGATATTATGGTTAAATGTGGACATTTCTTGGATTATGTAGCACGTGTTTCTCTAATTGGGATATGTTTTTGATAGATCTTGTTGGTATGTTCCATTTGACCTAATTAGTATTTAAACTTGAAACCTTTACTCACAATGAAAAGGGTAAGTGGAGGTTGAGTACAAGAGTTTTTTATCTGCAATTATTTTTTACTTGTATAAAACACTGTATATAGAACACTCTTGTGTGCATGTCCGCAAATGTGCATCTGCTGGCAGTGATGCTTAATAGGACTGGATGATGAGAATGTAAAACAGCCTATCCAAAATAAATATAATAATATTAGTGCACAGTGCATCTACTGATGTCACATATATTAGTGATGACTGGTACCCCTGTCTTGTTGAATGGTAAATTCTTTTCCCAGTTCTTCTACATGAATAGAATCCAATCTCATAACTGGACATAATTCTCTTACATGGGGTGAGACTTGCACAGTTAGGTTGTGCTTGGATGATGCATTTGGATAGGAATTTGGAAAGGAAACTAGACATAATTCTATATTTCATTTACATTTCACCCATTTTATCCCTTTCCAAATTCATACCTAAATCCATAATCCATATGGAGTCTTAGTGGTATGCATGCACTTAATGTGAGACAGTTGTGTCTAATATAGTGCACTTAAAGAATTTTTCTTCATGTATTGCAGGTGGTTGGAGCTTTTCATGTCTGGTGGCCTATAGCAAAGGAAAAAGGAGCTCAACAGATTCTGGGTTATTTACTATGTGCCTTGTCTTTTGAAATTAATTATGCAAGTGATTTTATATTATGATATCTGGATGGGTTGTATCTTATTCTAGGTTATTTGTTAATGGGGGTTGTGGGATAAAATAGGACAATGCTTCTCTCTAGTTGGGACGTGGACTCTGTAGTTGGCCCATGAAAATCAACAACACGCTTTAGTTTGATTTTGGACTAGAGAGAAGTCTGGGCCATTGTAGACACCCCATTTTTGACCGACCTTAAGAATCAGACGTCACCGGATTTAAAAATATTATATTTAAATTATAATTTTATTAATTTTATTAAAAAAATTAAAAAATCTATCACAATAAAACTTTTTAATTCTAAATTAAAATAGTCCAAAAACTTAAAAAACTAACTCAGAGAACTGTGTTTTTTTCTTTTTGTTTTTTTGGTAAAATGGGACTTCATAAATTAAAGAGGAGAATACAGAGTTCCTGAGGTAATGAAAATGGTCAACCCTAAATATGGTCAACAATCAATGTGAAATGCCAACATTATTCATAGAAAAAATTATGTTAATTGTTTCACCAGATCAATGTTTGAAAATAATTTTATGGTAAAGGTCTTGACAATTCAGTTACATGGTCCATTCCAATCTATCATCATCCACTTAAAAAAATAAAAAAAATCTGCAGATCTGTTCGTCAAGCTGCAGCGGATGATCGGCGGTGTTGCGAAGAGGAAGCGAAGAGGCGGTGTTGCCATGGCGACAGAGGCGGTGGTGGTGGAGGATCGGCGACGGATCTGTTCAGATCTGTTTCGATCTGATCTAGATGATGAGGAGAGAGAGAGGGAGAGGAAAGGGAGGGAGAGAGATGAGACTGAGATTTGAGTCATTGAGTGAGGGAGAGAGAGATGAAAGCCACGGTGAGAGAGAGAGACACACAGGAAGTGAAATAAAAAAATAGGTTTGGTTTATATATATATATATATGAGGGGTAAAAGGGTATTTTCACTTCGGGGATAATTCGGGGACGGGGACGGGGACGGGGCCGGGGCCGGAGCCGGAGCCAGAGCTGGGACCGGGCCGGGTACGAGGCTAAGACACTAATCCCCGTCCTCAGCCCGAAACTGATCGGGGATTGATATTTGAATACCATCCCTGTCCCCACGGGGATATTTTTCAAGGAAAACCCGCTCAAATCGGGGTCGGGGAGTCGGGTCGCCGTCGGGCCGGGTTTAAATTGCCATCTCTCGAACACAAGCCTTGGATTTGGACTACCGCTGTACCGTTTGATCCTCCTTTCACTTCTCGGTGTTAGGTGTGATAGGTATATTAGGTAGTCTTGCTGAGATACCCTTTTTGACCAATTGACCTAGTCACATATCGAAATCCATAAAGACTGTTCCAAACGAGGACAGGTTGCTCACCCGAATGCAGGATTGTGTGAAACCGCTTGTTTTGCACAGTGAACCCTTAGTTCCTGACGAAACTAGGATAGGGTAACCCTACCCCATCATAGGGGTGCTTTGGCTGTCACTTGCTTGATACGTGCTTTTAGAGCGAAACTCTACAGGATTGTATGTATCAGTTGCAAGTCTGGGTATCAGTTTAAGGGTATTAGTTTTGAGGCAGAAATCTGGGGCAGAAATCAGTGTTTGAGTACAGTCATCCAGCTTAAGATTGCAACTGTGTGTTGTTTTTTGTTTGAGTCGAGGTGTTGTGCGGTTTTTGATTTTTGTTTCTTTTTTTGCTTTATTTTATTTTTTGCAAGGTAGTTTTTCACGATTGCTTCAGATGGGGCAGTTACCCCCCAAGCACTTTGGACTCGAGTAAGTCAACTTTACCGATCTAGGGATCTTGTAAGAGGACAACCAGTGTTTGCTTCACTACCGCCAATTACATGTCAGGGGAGAGTCAGGCATAACTCACCGGTTCGACAGTTACCTTAATTCAGCGTAGTCCAATTTTCTGCTTTCGCTTCAGTGAGAGAGTATTCACCTGATCAAATGGTTCAGTATCCAGCCGGAATGGAAGAAATGCTCCGCCACCTCCAACAGACTATCGAGAACACGCAGCTAGATGCTACCCAGCAAACCGAGGTTTTCACCCGCCAAGCTGAGGTAATAGAAAGGCTTTAACAGTAGCCACAACCTGCAGTGGCCTCAGCATCACATGCATCCCCAGTGGGCATCCCGGCACCTGGGTCACCATTAATGTCTAGGAAAATACGGGCATTCCGGCAGAGTTGATCTTACCCTAGACCTCCAAAGCACTGGTTTACCAAACAGAGGTGCCGTTTGAGCTCGAGGTCGACCCTACTGCACTGAAAGTCAGCAAGCTTTAGAAGCTCTTTAAACGGGTGCAGAGTGTGAACTTGATCCCTGATATAGAGGGCGGCTATACTGATTCGGAAGTTACTTTGTCGGACAAATTCAAAATGCCACATATAGACCCGTTTGATGGTTCCGGGGATCCTATGGTCCATCTACGGCTATTCTCGAACATCCTACAACCCATGGGTCTCACCAGGCTACAGAAGCTGTCACTCTTCCGTCGGACCCTGTCGGGTATAACGGCTATTTGGTACGCCAAACTTGAAAACTTTAAAACTTTGTGAAAAGAAACTAGGAGGAAATGGCCGAGGCCTTCATAGCACAGTACTTCTATAATACTCAGATCGAGGTCACGACTCGTGATCTCGAAGCAACTCGCCAGGAGGCGAAGGTGGGTTTCTCTGATTTTGTCAACCGGTGGGGGGCCAAGGCCTCCATGTTGACCACCAGGCCGGCTGAAAAGGACCAGATCAGAATGGTGGTCCGTAATCTGTAACCAAGGCTGTTATAGAAGATGATAATCATACCTCTGTCTACTTTTGTTGACCTCCATGAAATAGGGGTGCAGATAGAGGATGCAATGAAGCAGGGTCTGATAGACCATGAGAAAGAGTAGCTGAAGAGGTCTTTCACACGCAGTTCTAATGCGACCACGAGTGGTAGTGTAGCTGCAAGGCCTTTTGATGTGGGTATGGTCACCA